AAATCGAGCATTAAGGGATATTTTTAAACCAGCATCCGAATCTGTCTCAGATACCAGTCCGCTGGCTTTAGACAAAAAACTGTAAATAAGCTTTCTTCACTTCATCAAAAGTGTTGAATCTCTATTCGCACAGGAAGTGTGCCATTGAGCGGAATACGCTATAGTCACACGAAGTAGCATCGAGACTGAATAGTGGACGTGGAAGAATCTAAACACCGTCCATCTGTTTGGACCTCTCCTTAATCAACCTGGCAGTGTGCGACCTCCCGTTGTCTTGCTGAAACAATCCGGCTATACCTTTAGTTTGTCGTACGCGCTTGTGTAGCTGCCTGCAATACAATTTAGCATTGTAGAACTAGCTCGAAATACAGTCCTCCTTGGAAATTCTACCAGACTAAGATCAAGATTTGTTGTTTTCATTTCGCTTCCTACATAAGTTTGGACTTTCTGACCAACGTAGTATATGGTCATTAGAATGAGGTCAGCCACAAAATACGACTTACGAATTAGAAAAACTAAAATCGACCATTAAGGGATATTTTTAAACCTGCATCCGAATCTTTCTCAGATACCAGTCCGCTGGCTTTAGACAAAAAACTGTAAACAAGGTTTCTTCACTTCATCAAAAGTGTTGAATCTCTATTCGCACAGGAAATGTGCCATTGAGCGGAATACGCTATAGTCACTCGGAGCAGCATCAGGACTGAATGGGAGATGCGGAAGAATCATAACACCATCCATTTGTTTGAACTTCTTCTTAGTCAACATGGCAGTGGGTGGCCTTGCATTAACTTAATGAAATAAAGCCCGACTTCGATCAACCAAAGCCAGATACTCCTTCCTTAGATTGTCGAAAAATGATGGCCCAGCCGAGTGGAACATTAAGTACTCCTGGGAAATTCCGTCAGACAGAGATCATGATTTGTTGTTTTCTTTCTGCTTCCTAAGCCTGTCAGTTAGCTATGATACACGCTTAGTCGATCATGTATCTTTCGATACATGACTGACGAGGCAGAATTTTTTCCCGCAGTAGGTTGCCATTCCTTTCTGCATTAGACCAGTTAACATCCATGGCGATAGAACCCGGTCTGTCCTGCTATTTACCCATAGCTGGAGGGAGAAGAAGGGTATTAACACGTAAGTGAATGTAATGGATTCGAGTGGATTTCGAACTCGGCTCTCCGATTCCTAAATCCGAGCTACTATCTATTACTCCACCACCCCAGACTAGTAAGTATTAATATGAATTGATACAGGAGAAATGTATTAAATATTTATTTAGTGATGTATTTATATGGGTTTGTTTTTTTTAATCATTTTCTACCCGTTATCAGCAATATTATTAGTCCTGATATGGCTGCTTTTCCATCGCCGGAAGGTTACCTTTTTTTATAAATACTTTCATGGTAATTGTTCGAATGAGCTCTTCGCTATGTTACCAAGACTTTTTTTCCCAGTAGTAAAGATCTAATCAATTTAGAGCTGAGCTGACTAGATGTAAGCGTACTTCTATCCTAACAGCTTATTATCTCGCACTTCTTGCTTGTGGAACTCACTTCCGGCTCCACGTTTCCAGCAATTTTTAATCTGCAAAACTTTAAATGCAATGTCAATCTCTATCATCCTTTTCTCTTTTCTCTTTCTATTCATTACTAATGTTTCTGTTCCTAATTCCTCCACACTTTGTAAACTCTTGTGTTTTCATGGCGGTACTGCCTTGCTTAGGTTGATACTATATATATATATATATATATATATATATATATATATATATATATATATATATATATATATTAGTTTTATTTAAAATATGATTGAATTGCGTAGCGATATCATATTTTTAAATAAATAATTATATTTAGGCTCTACTTTTGTATCGAGCACTGTTTTTTTTTAAATAATAACAAAAATACTAAAGAACTTTGGATTATTTACCTAACGAGTTCTTTCCTATTTTCTATATATTTTCACACACACACACACACACACACACACACACACACACACACACACACACACATATATATATATATATATATATATATATATATATATATATATATTTATATACAGAGAGATAGATAGATAGATAGATAGATAGATAGATAGATAGATAGATAGATTGCTGGTATTTTTTTTTCAAAATTTGTTTACTATGAACATACATTGTTTGTATTTTTACTCTAAAAAAGACTTGTTATAGTGTTTTGAACCCGCTTAACTATCTGCCCATATTTGGGACCCTACAGGTGCTGTAACAGCTTGTCAGTTTGGACCTGGGAACAACAGCAATTAAAGGGTAGTTCCAGGCCCCACGATATCTCTCCACCAGAGGCTTAGTGCCAGATGTAGTTTATCTTCATAATCAGAACGCCATTACTGAAGTGAAAGCAAAATAAAATTCACGGTTCAAGAAGGCATGAGTTGACGATTGGCGTAGATTTCAAATGACAGCAAAAGAAGAGACGAAAGAATAAACAGTTAGAATATAACTTAGGTTTATTTTTAACAATTTCAACAGCAAACTGATCAGGTCGAGCTGACCAAGAATCAAGTTAAGTGGCATACGCGATACACACTTGAACGATGTTTCGTTCGAATCATGACTGACTAGCTATAAATGGTAGCAAAGAGGAAAACTCAGCAGAAAAATTACAATGATGATGAATGAAAAAATATAGTTTCTGTAAGAAATCGATTTATTGGCATTTTTACGGCTTATCAACCCATTCAGGATTATTTAAAGCCGAAGTATATTTTTGATTGTTAGAATATTTTTATCTGGATATCTAATTAACAATTTGTTTTTAAATATAACAATCAATTTTCCAGATACAATTACTATTATTTAACCCATAGATTGGGGGAATTGAATGATACTTTTTCTAAGGCTATTTAAGTGTAGCTAAATGTAACTGGAATTCGATCTTGGTCTCCAGTTTTCAATAGGTATACTAGTTTTAGGGAATATTGTGGGAAAAGCTGCATTTTTTCAACTGTTCTCAGAGATCGAAGTTCGATCAAATTTAGATTTGAATGTTGAGTTTTCTAGGGAGGTTAACTGAATTACCTCCATTATTACTTTTTATTTTCTCTTCTAGCTTTCTCTTTAATGGATTTTATGATAGGCCAAAGTTGAGGAAAAAGAAAATAGAGCATATGTCAGAATGGAGGAGAGGTGTAAAAGAAATTGAAAACGATTGAGATATTCACTAACCGCCCCACTCGGTCAGATGTGTCACAAGGCCGTGTTTATTGTGGGTATCCGAGCCCATAAACTCGGCCAAAAATTCCCCGTAGTTCCCGTTTCTTACGGGACGCTGTCTCCCGACGCGAGACTCTGCCCTTCGACATAGCCTCGTCTGGGGTCTTCTCTGTCCGGAGGCAGAGAGTTTGACCAACACACTCCGAAATAACCCGGAGAATGATTGAAAACGGGGATAGCTAAGTTATTGTATTGTATTGTATTATATTGTAAGGAGAAGTAGTGTAAGGAATGAACATGAAAATAAACTATGGCAGAATAGTAGAAAAGAGACGCGGGAAATTCTTATGGAAAAATAAAAACATACCTAAAAAACAAACTAATAACGTTTCATACACTGAGTATTTCGCCTATCGCGAAGAACGAAAGTTCACTCACTGACGCTCCTTGGCTTAAACATCTATTGGAACTCAATTTCATCCCAGACTCCAAGAGGAACTTTATATACGATCCATTGCTAAAGATACTTTAAATATGATCGATTCCCTGTATTTCTTCTCTAACTATATGACTCCTTTTGCTATGTCCTAGCTTTACAAGAGTCAGATCTGACCACAAATGGAATACTACTGTCTGCAAACACGGAAAAGAAACTAAAAAATCTCCTACAGAATGTAGCGAGGGAGATTGAGAAGAAGGGACTAATCATAAACTACATGAAGACAGAATGCATGGTCATCAATATAAAGGATGAGACGGAAATGCGATTTGCAGGTTGGGAAGACTAAAATGAAGCAGGTGCCAAAGTTTAAGTACTTGGGAATGTTTTGACGGATGACCGTAGGTGAGACGCTGAGATCCGAAGACAGACTGGGCTGGCCAAGGATGCATTCCAAAAGCTAGGCTGAGTACTGCGAGACAGGAAGATATCTTTGGCAACAAAGAAAAGGGTACTGAGCTGCTACGTAACACCTATCCTCCTGTACGGCAGAGAATGTTGGACGGTCTTCTCAAAGATGAAGAAACAGGAGGCGACGGAGATATGGTTCTACAGAAGATGTTGAGGATATCATGGACCGAGAATGTGAGCAACGATGAGGTCTTGGAGAGGATTCAAAGAAGGTGGAAGCTTATACTTAACATAAGGAAGAGGCAGACGAAATTTCTGGGACACGTAATGAGAAAGGAATGCCTGGAGAATCTGATACTCAGAGGTCGAATTGTGGGGAAAAGAGACAAGGGAAAGGAACGCATGACATACCTGGTAGGTTTATGCAAGTGGATGGTAGAACGTGGTCTGGGAGAGTTGGCAGTGGCAGGAGCTTATTTGGAGCTACAAGGATTAAGGGGCAGTGGAGAGCCATGATCTCCTTCTTCCTGAAAAGTCATGGCACATAAAAAGAAAAGAAAAAAAGACTGTCATATCTGGGCTAAAGCCATCAAGACGTCACATTCCAGTCTTGATAGACTTGTGGTCGATGAACCAAAAAAAAAAAACTCCTCACCCACAGATGAAACGTACCAAGACCTTCGATATTCTATAGCTATTTCCATGGCAAATATCATGATGACCTACATTCCTTACAGTCAACCATTCAGACTTATGCAGCTAAGACCGCCGTGTCATATAAACAGGGTCAAATCTCATTGGTAAAATTGAAGTTCTATTCCAATAATCGATATTTGCTGGAATAGACACTCAAGAGCATGCTTTCCCGACCACTATAATCTTAAAATTCTTGAGTCTAAAGTTAACCATTATCTTTGCCACATATCTCCATAAACTGCATTTTGCTTACGGCCACAACACGTAGAAACAACAGATCACGTAAGATCCGAAGTTAAGCCACGTCGAGTCTGGTCAGTACCTAGATGGGTAACCGCTTGGGAATACCAGGTGTAAGCTAGGAATTCCGCGTAGTGCAAAGGATAATGCCACTGAATTCTTAATAGGAGAGCCGAGTTAAATTCCCGTTGGGTTCTTTATATTCACTTCCCCTTGCATGAATCCAACTCTTGTCTCCCTACAGATATGTGTCAATTAATAACACTTGTATCACTGAATCCTTATTATCTTACAAAATAAAATAAAATAAAATAAAATTCTTACAATCTAAAATATTTTTCTGGTTTTAAATATCCAGCAAATGGGTGATAAACAGTAGAAAACGAAACAGTCAAATCAAATTAAAACTACTTTTTACTTTCATCGTTTTCTGCTCATACATCAGTAAACCTCTGTCTTTACTCACTCTTAGGCCTTGTATAGGGAGGATCATTAGTAAAAGCAAGCTAAAAAGTAATTCAAAACGATGAATGTAAGATTTGAAAGCAAAGTCAATGGCAGCGAAAGTTCAGAGAGAGGAAGTTAATCTTATTTTAAGGGTAGATAATTGTATGTGACACAAGAATCCCCATAAAAATACGAACAGAATTCAAACCAGACAAACTTATAGACCAAACGAGATGAAGGGCATATGGCGCTAAGTTCGTTGCGAGTAATTTTAGCTAGGGTACTTGATTCAGAAAACATGTTTCTGATATTGAATAAAGCGTACAAGTGCCGAGGAAATTAGAACCAGATTTTTTTTTCCCAGAGCAGCTTCTTGGAGTGCAGTAATTTTGAGCCCGTTTGTTTTTATTGTGGCTGGAGTCGGCGCTAAGACACTTTCTTCTGCTGTTCATACTGCACTCGATAAATTCCATTTTGCATGTGCGATCGTTTGGCATTAATATACTAGTCATTGATAGTGCAGACCATCGAATATACGATCACAAATGCTTATTTGGGAAGAGAAATTTCAACTTATCAGCTAAAAAATCGGAGAGAAAGTAAAAGTATTTCAAACAGTGACATTCATTAAAAAAACTGGTAGTTCTCATTTCTACTCTGACGTATCCATTTAGATCATGGCTCTCCACAACTCCCTGTTTTTTGTAGCTCTTATTAAAGTTTCTCTTTTTGCTGTCTCTTGTAATTCCTATTCTGATACCCATTCACAAAAGTTTGTTAGATTAGGTGCTGATTTATTTGTCTCTCTTGCCTTCCATATGTCCTGTGCATCTCAAATTTACAAAGACCTCATTCCCACTTGGATGGTTTAATTAATTATTAAACCAACACTAATTAATAGAAAACTTGTAAGGATCCTGGCGTTGAAGGTCAAGAGTAAAAGCAACACAGAGGTGGAGGAAACAGCAATATCTGTAACATCGAATCAGGAAAAAATATCTAAACAGCGGAAAAAGCCCATTATACACAAGTAAAGTAACCATATTCCATTATAATCAAAATCTATTTTGATTTTCTGTTTGAAGACGTCTAACATCATTACATTTTCTGCCAAAATAGGAAGAGTGTTCCAAACATTCACCACCCAATGTAAAATAAAGAATATATTCGTATGTTGTATCAATGGAGGAGCGGTTGAATTTTTAATGAATGTACTCTGGTGGATTTATACTGGGCTTTGAGTAACATATTTTTTCGAGACCTGTCATCAAATGAATTTACTGTTCTAAATACGTGTATTAAATCACGTTTCAGACGTTTAGTTTCAAGTGAGAAAAGGCCAAGTCTTTATGTCACTGTGAGTAAGGCATAATTATAATGTTAGGAATAATGTTTCTTAAATCGTTACTTAGGGATTTTTCTAGCTGTGTTGATATGCCGCTAAACAAACAAATGGCCAAACTTAGACGGAATAGCGATAAGTAAATATTAAGAGAGTTTTATTTTATTGTGTTAAAATGGACCTTTTGAATACAACTGCATAATTAGTGCAACATAACCTTCTTAAACAACAGGTTATATTCCCTAGCTAAGTTTTGGAAAGCTGGGAAAAGTTTCACCAAATTATATTTTAAATTTCGTGCATGCGCATTGTGTGTTTTTGATTTTGTCTATTGCACTGTTGGCTTCTTCCTGCGAGAAAAAGAGCGCCATGGCGGAATTCACTGCGCCAGAAACGATATGCTGCGCGGGTTGGCATTCACGGCGGCAGATCCAATTCGAACATTTCAGAGTGTGTTGGTGTCAATCTAAGTTCAGTGAAGAGTATTCGGAAAGTGTTGCATGTGTTTAATGGGCATTACGATTTATCTCCCAGGCTCTCAGACGAAACACGTAGGACTACATCCTGTGCCCTAAGGAGATAGTGTTGCGGTAGTGGTTGCTGGAAGGCACTATGTCAAACAATAGGACTCTGCACCGTGCCACACAAAGCAGGAGAACACAGATATAGCAGTCAGTCAATTTCTGCGAGGATATCAACCATTACATCTAACTAACTCAC